CTGAGATTTGTAAAGCAAGTTGGATGGCTTTTGAAGGGAAAAAGTCAATATTTTAAGTTTAGTTCATGAGTTCTTTTCCTTTGTTTTGTCTCTAAGCTTTTGTGTTAAAGGTGAAGGATTTGGGTTGCTCAGACAATTAAGAGCCCATTTTACCAAGTGTAATTTCATATCTGTGTTCTATAAACTGGAGTGCCTTCAGCATTGTAAATAAAAAAATTGCCCTCTATTTAGCATGTTTGTGGGCAGATTAAAAACAGTCTTCATTAGCATAAGTAACACTTACAGATTCTTTTAAAAGTAGAAAATTATTTGCTGAATGATAAATTGCTAGCTTTATAGTTAGTCGCTGAAAATGTGCTCATTCAAAATGCCTACTTTAGTTTAGTCTACAATACTCAATTTTTTGAGTTCGAAGTACTGTTTAATGGATTAGTCTTTGTTCACAGTAGATGCTGAAATGCAATTCAACTTTCTGCTAAAATGTTTGTATCAAACACCTCCCTATTTAGACTGATTTCTTCTAACGCCATATATTTTTATTATACTATATGCCCCAGAGAATGATACAAAATAATGTCAGATATGCTATACCAAAGAAAAGCTGTTCACATTTTAGTATTGATAGTGAAAAATGTTTTGCCTTCTTGAATTCAAATTACAGCTCTTTTTTAAAACGTTTGATTCTTTGTTAGTTTTTTGTAACAAATATTAAACATTTGGCAAATGATCATCGCTATAGCAAATTCACCAAACAAAAGAGTTCAGTTGCTCCACCGTAGAGTCCTTTCTTTCTGGACTTGTTTATTGCTGTCTTGGAAAGCTTTGCCCAGAAAGCATTTTTCGTGCTGGTAATGCTACCCTCTTTGATCTAGTTAGAATTGGTATCTACACCTTAAGTGCAGATTTCAATTATCTTTTTTTTTTCTTTCTTGTTTAGTAAGAAAGATATTGGAATGCAAGAATAGTTTTTTAGACACTGCATGACAGAGCAGAACATTTTATTTAAACAAAGCTCAGCTCAGACTGAATAAAATAACATTTGGATACATAGATAAAATGCATGTATGCTTTAAAATAAGGGTGCTCATGGGTCGTGCAGACTCTAATGCTTGGCAGTTATCCTCTTTGCGCTTTTCCTGCATTAGTTTGGCAGTTCAGCTTTCACACATTTTTTTTCCTTTAATGTCTTCTGTTTCTTTGCTAAATCCCTATCAGAAAACCAGACAGAAGACTCTTATTTATTTTAAATATCTTAGGTTTAGCATCTTTTTTTTTTTTTCACCATTTTCTTGCTTACTGTAGCAAGACCTTTGCAGATGGTACTTGGTTACTTGAAAGTGCATAACAGTATTTTCTTTGTAGCAGATGGATTTAAGACTTTTAGTTCCCAATAAATGTAGGTTTACAATACATAACTTTACAGGATTTGTGTTGTATATAACAGGTTTGAACATATTATCTCAGAATTCATCTGCATGGCATTTTCAGTTTATCCAGGGCCTATGCCAGTATTTTAAGTAATAGGGAGAGCATAGTGATTGATAGCAGCTAAAGGCGTGATTTTGAATAGAAACAAAGGTTTTAGAACAGAAGGTGTCAAATTAAACTTTGTCAGTTTGAAAAGTAGTAACATCCTGAAAGTTCTGCAAACATATTTACATGTGGCTAATGTTTATATTTTGCTTTGTACTCTCTTTATATTCAGTGTAATGTTGCCTGGCAAATTTACTGTGTTTTAAAATCAAGGTTTTTCCCAATGTCATTGCAGAGTTTTGGGGGTTTGCCTTATTGCATAAATATATATGCCTAATTATTTTAAGGCATTTTTAATGATGTGCTGCTTGCTAAGGAAGCTGGTTGTCATCGAATTTGAGTTATAAATATTTTGTTGTTACTTTAGTGTCCTTTCTACTTCTTTAAGATTATAAAAACATGAAAAAATACAGTTGTCCGGGCTCTCCTTCAGAATAAATTTTCTTAATTAGATAGAAATTGCTCTAAACTTGCAGGTGTGGAAGAGGAGAAAAATCGGCCTTGTTAGGTCCATTTGTGAATTAAACTACAGTGCTTCATTCTTCTATAGATCAAATAGAGGCAAAAGATACAAATTTTGCAGAACTTAAAATTCAGCATTAGAAGAGTCTGTATCATTAGTTTTCCTCAAAGTTACAAAAACGTTTTGTACATTTTCATTTAGCTGACTTTTATGAATGAGCTTTATGTTCAATAGAGAAGTCTGAACACAAATTAAATTAAACACAAGAAAACATCCTGGAGTAAAGTTTTCACCCTTTTAACTAAATAAATCTCCAGAGTTTCTGTTACTGCACATTCACCATCTCTTCTAAGATTATTTGTGATATCAACTTTTACAGGCATTTTCAGAAATGAATGAAGTCCAAAAAAATTACTTACTTCCTTGCTTTTAAAAGAATTCACTCTATCATTTCCCTGTTGCCCATCACATATTTCATCAGAATAATTGTTTACTTCTTCAGCAATATGAAGAACAGAGTGGAAAAGAGACATTTTATTAGAGTAGCAGTCTATTCTGCACACCGTCAGAAGCAACTGTCTTCAGAATCTGAAAATCAGTGTTTTTGTGAAAGGCTGGCAGAGATTTACTTAATCTTACAGTTCATCAAATCTTTTTTAGATAAAGAATTAGATGCAATTTTTTAGTGCAAAGGCTAATAGAAAAGTATTGGAAATGTAATGTTAGTCATCAGCAACTAGTAAAATTAAGAACTGATCTAGTAAGCGTAGAAACATAGAAAAGACGATATGAGGAGAAGGAATTTCTTAGTTAACAAAATGTTGTGAAATATATTTAATCAGCATAAGCCGTGATTGCTTAGGATTTATTTTATTACTGATCACTTAAAAAGAGTTTCCATTGTCCTTTTCAAAAAGAGCATCTGGGATTCCCGTGGTCACCAGACAAAAGAAATGCAGTTTCTAAATGTGTGGTGCAGTTTCTTCTTAGGTCTGTGAGTATACCTTAAAGAGGTGTTGTCGGAGGGGACAACTTTTTCACCTGATTGCTGTGGCTGCTCTGCTTTTTGTTTCATCACAACTGGAAAGAGGACAAACAGATTTAATGTGAAGCAGTACAGACTCCAGACAACCGAACGACTATTTTTTTCTCCTTCACGGCAGACCTTCTCCTTTTTAATTAAAAATTTTATAACCACATTTCAATTAAAATATTTCAATTTTGTTATCTTCATCTTCCCCCCTCTTTCTCCAGTAAACCACCTACGCTCTCTGATTGCACCTTTTAACTTGCTACAGAAAGCTAGTAGTCATATGTTTATTCCCTTGGAAGGATGGCAGGGAGAGAACCACTGCAGCATGTGGATATTGTTAGGGGCATGGAGGGTTTGTGAGTTAACTTGCTAACACATCCCATGGATCCTTATAATGTAGAGGGAGAATTCATGGACATTTACTCCTGTTTTGGAAACATACCGTATGGTTCCATCTGGGACAGCCTGTATATTTTTTTAGAATAGCATTTGGCCACATTTCTCAATCAACTTTTTAAACCTGGGGTTAATACCCAGCATATGCATGACCAAAAACTATAGTCTGCCCCATTCCTGGTTTGGGCCCTACTCAGATTTTTGCCTTCAGATATTGCCAATATTTGTCCTTTATGCTATCTCTGTTTCTTGGGGGCATATTCTCCTGTCATTTGTTCACTTTTCCACTTTTATGCAATAGCATATACTTGAAATTTTTATACACACCTCACTAAATATGTTCTCATACAGTATGAACGCATTAAGATTATTTGTTTACTTTCATCTCTTCCTGTCACGGCAATATTTTTACACTGCATTTATTAACTGCTAGCTAAAGATATGAATGTCTTCAGGAAAATGACGTATCTATATTGTATCTATGTATCTATTGTATCTAGTAGTAAACTAGTCTGGATAAACCATTTTTCAACTACCAGTACATGTAAGAAGGATCTAAAAGCTTCTGTACATTTATATTATTTGTTGATTCAATAAAATGTCACATTATCTTTCCCACAGCATTAAGAAGTAAAATTGCACAGACCTAGTTTTGAAAACAGATCCTGGAAGCTAAAAGGAAGAAATATGCAGGTTGCATGCATGTAATAGTTTGTTTCAAAATTTTAATATACAAAAATATGCTGATGATGCACACTGTGCTTCATAGCTTGTTTCCCAAAAAATAGCTGGTTTAGGATTGGTGTGCTTTTAGGCATCTTGCTGTTTGGTGACCTGGAAAAGGTATGAAGGGTAAGTCAAAAACATGAGGTTCCTTCATGTCCCCCTCAAGCCCTATGCAAAAATGTGAGACTGTTTTTTTCAGGGTCTATGAGAAAAATACTGAAACAGATAATAATTTTCAAATAAATTTACCTGCAGAGGCATTTCTACTCATGGTAGATAGGAACACAATATTACTTTCCTGCATCTCATCAAATAATTTTTCTCTTTTAAAAGGACTTTAGGGAATTCCACTATCGTTATGATTTACATCAGGCAGCTCTGCGGTCAAAGCAGGTACCAAGAGTACTTTCTTATCTAGAGAAGTAGCACCAGTGTTTAAAAACTGCTCAGCAGCTGATTAACCAGCTACTGAAACAGTGTTGGTGCTCTCCAATGGATAAACAGAGGAAAACTGGCAATAGACAAGAGTATATAGCATCAGGGGATGTGTAGGGGAGGAGAGGATGGAAGATTCTACCTTGATCAATGGGTTTGTTGAACAAAGAGCACTGTGGTGTGGGACCAAGTAAAATGTGCTTTCCAAAATGCTTGCGGCTTGCAGGGGTCTGTGCAGTAGGGTGGCAGTCTCGGTGTGTTGATGTTTGTTTCACATCCAACATTTACAGGGAAAGCTGTGACTTTCTGGAGGAGAAGGTGAGACAATGCAGTGCTGCTCAAGTTTGCATTTCACCTTCACTTGCCCCTTGCAAGGCAAGGAAAAACTAATGTTTTGCTGGTGTTATCTTCAAGGGATGGCTCTGTGAGCTGTTACGTTGGAAAGAAGATCCCTCACCAGAGAACAGGACCCTCTGGGAGAATCTCTCCATGATCCGAAGGTTCCTCAGTCTTCCTCAGCCTGAACGCGATGCCATTTATGAACAAGAAAGCAATGCAGTTCATCACCATGGTGACAGGCCTTCCCACATTATCCATGTGCCAGCAGAACAGATTCAGGTTAGTTTACCTTGGCCAATCCAGCAGAGCACTAAGTAAATAATGCTTTAAACATAGCAAAGGAAATTAGTGTTTCTTTCCTCCTGGCCAGGCTAACTACGGGTCTCCTGGTAAGTGATAACAGCATACTGCCGTCTGCCACTTGAATTAAAAGATGAGTTGGTGACCACACAGACTTTTTCTTTCAGTTTGGGTTTTTCCAAGCGTGTGTGACAAAGCAGCTTGGGCATAGCCGTGTGTGGACAGAACAAGCCTCCTGTGTTAGCTGCCTCTGCTAGGTGGGCCTCATGACCACAAGAGAGGGATGCTCAGAGCTCAGCTGAGCAGGAGGAGGTTATTGAGCTGCTGATGAAAACTTGGCTTAGCATTCAGCAGCTGATCACCCTAGGTTGGAGTGAGGGAAGGGGACTTGGTTCCTCAGCCTGTTTTAACCCCAGCTGAACCTGGGATGAGTCAATGTTTGTTTGTTTTTCCTTCAGAGCCCCTCTCCCACCACCCTTGGGAAAGGAGAGCATAGAGGCGCTTTCTTACCAGGCCTGGTGACCGCTGGACCTTGGCTGGGTGCTGCTCCGCAGGTGAGCTGGCACAAGGGCAATGTGCCAGGGAGAGAACTGAGGGCTTGCAGGACCCATACACTCAGCCTGGAGAGGCCAAGCCCTTGGCTCGCCCAGGCACCGCGGGACTGGGAGCGCAGACAGCCACCTGCTAAATATTGTAGGTCAAACCTGGAACAGCTTGCCCAGAGAAGCTAGGGATGCCCCGTCCCTGGAGGTATTCAAGGCCAGGTTAGATGCCCTATCTAGTCTGATCTAGTATGTGGCAACCCTGTCTACAACAGAGGACTTGGAACTGGATGGCTTTTAAGGTCCTTTCCAAACCCAAGCCATGCTGTAATTGTATGATCTGCAGCTCTCTGAGTTGAAGGCTCTTTAATCCCTTCTCATGAAGACCTGAGGTCAGCTTTTTAGCTGCTCCCTGTTACAGGGCAGATATTGCCCCTGTTTTTCAGAGTTCTCAACCTCAGCTGAGACCTTGATATACTATTTGTATCACCTGTGCAGAAAAATACTTAGAGAACTAGGGAGGATAAAGTTATCTCACAGGCAGAAACAACACAATTGTATATTAAAGATAAAGCAAACTGAATAAGACAATCCCTTAGGATATCAAGTACTAACATAATCGTGAAAGCCTGGAAACTTGCTGTTTGATTTAGCAAAAAGAGAGAAAGATCTATATTAAGTAATAAAACAGCATTTGTTTGGAAATGTACATTGTTTTTAATAAAATGGCTTATTAAAGGGATAAAAGGAGAAGCTTATGCACAGGATAAACACTGTATCACTATGCTACTTACCTAGATTTTCCTGCCTTATTGATAAAAGTTTTGTGTTTGATCTCACAAATATTATTCCATAAGCAATTTCACTGTAATCTCTTAATGTGACTTGTAAGTGAAAGGGTTGGGGGACTGGGCCTGAGTCTTGTCTGTTTTCTACTGCACTCTAATTGTTGAAGATGCATAAATATGTAGCTAAGACACAAGTTTTCAAACTGTGTATACAAACCCTCCAGTCTTGTAAGAATTTAACATGCTGGGAGTAGTCTTGAATCTCTCTGGGTTTGAAGCTTTGAATGGGGCTGCTCACAGACCATAAAACATGAAAGAATGTGAATAAGGATGAGACAAGAGCCCAGATTCCATCAGTGTTTGTGTCACACAATAACAGGATCTCTTCAAACAGAGACTGCTGATATAGGTGTTGAGACTACACGAAGTCTCCACAAGCACAAGTAGCACTGCAAAATGAAACTTCCAATCCAATATTTATACTACCCCTACTATATCTTGTGCTACCTGAGGTCTGCAAGTGAGCTGCAACCAAAAGCTCTGGAACCACTTCTGACACACAAAAAATTGTCGAGGGAAGAGTCACAAAGGGAAATGAAAAGTGGTGATAGCAACTGCTTGTTTTGCTGCTGTTGTTTATTAATAATAACTAGTGGTTTGTACCATATGACAAGAAATTTGCTGACCCAAAATATCTACTAACCAGTGCTTCCTGTGCTGCAGAGCTAAAGAATTGTCAACAAAAACAGTAGCTGATAAATTTACTTTTGATTTTAAACATGATCTTATAATGTACTATACTCCAGCAGTGGATGAGAAAAACATTTCTGTCTCTAGGGCTCAGTGCCTCACCTTTTAAGAATGTTTCTGAATCCATGCTTGCAAAACTTCATTTTAAGCTGTTGTTAATTATTTACATCATGATTTGCTTTATCTTATTCTTCTGTTGTGCATACTGGCTCATTTTTATTGCTTCAGTTTTTGGAATGCAGCATGTTCCCTTCTAATAATAATAGTGCAACTTATTTAAAGCTTTGCATCTTAGTGCTTTATAAATATTAACCGAATAATCCCCAGCACAAACACTGCAGTAGGTAAACATATTTGTTCCCTGTTTGTATGTCGGGATCCTTGAATGCAAGCAAGACAGACCCTCTCCGTGTCCACAGGCAAGATGGACCAGTGCCAGCCTGGGAAATAACGAGTTGCTGTCTCCTGATCTCTTTGTCCTTGTGAAGACTGGGTTTGGCAGAGTGGTTTTAAGCACTTCCAGCTCTCACAGTCTGTAGTAGTGCTTGCAAGTTTGGGGAGGCTTCAGCAGCTGCTCAGCTCAGTTTGGTGGTGGGATATTTCCACACTTAGCTATAAAGCTCCTCCCTTGATCTCCCCTATCCCTCACCCTAGCCATTGCTAGAGATTTGCAGCCCTTGCTTTTGGGCAGCAGCTGCTGTTGCTGGCAGAGCTCCTGTGTGTTTGCCCTCATCTGGCACTTTTCTGACTTTGCCCTTGCTACAGTTCTGACTAAGCTGGTCAAGTTAATCCTACACTATGTCACCTACTTAGCATTTTGTCTTGTCTGCACTTGACTCGTGAAGCACGTTCATTAAAGTGTGTCAGCTTAACTATACCAGTGACACGTCATCAGCGTTTCCAGCCAGACAAAGCCAGGGTGCCACAGCTCTGCCCGCATCCTGACAGTCTTTTATCCCAGTCTCTGCTTACACACATGCAGATACATGCAAGGTATGCAGAGGGTTACTAATTCTCATTTATTTGGGGTTCACCGTACTATCATCAGTAATGAGCCCTTTGTTTTGTTTTCCTTCACCTTACCAAGCAGTTGCCTATAGCTTTGCAATTGTTCCCCTGGATTTTCATGGTAACACAAAATGCTACCAAGAATATGTGTACAAAAAAAAAATTAATTTTGTGCTTTGTCTTGCAGCAGCAACAGCAGCAGCAGCAACAGCAACAACAGCAGCAACAGCAACAGCAACCGGGTCCCAGACTCCCCCCAAGGCAACCGACAGTAGCATCACCAGCTGAATCTGAGGATGAAAATCGTCAGAAACCCCGGCCACGAACAAAGATTTCTGTTGAAGCCCTAGGGATCCTACAGAGTTTCATACAAGACGTGGGCCTGTATCCTGATGAAGAAGCAATCCAGACTCTCTCTGCTCAGCTTGACCTGCCCAAGTACACCATCATCAAGTTCTTTCAGAACCAGCGGTATTATCTCAAACACCATGGAAAGCTGAAGGACAATTCTGGGCTGGAGGTAGATGTTGCAGAATACAAGGAGGAAGAGTTGCTCAAGGATTTAGAAGAAAGCATCCAAGACAAAAATGCGAACACGCTTTTTTCAGTTAAACTAGAAGAAGAGTTATCGGTAGAAGGGAACACAGAGATTAATGCTGAATTGAAAGACTGATCTAAAAGTATTATTTTCTTTCAACAGTGCCACTGGTATTTACTAATGAAATGAAAAATTCCATCTTGCGTTCTGTCAAAAACCTTTATTATTCATTGTTTGGCCAATGAATCTTCCAAAACTTGCACAAAAGTTGAAAAAAGGATAATGCAGACTGCACTAGATGTTTTACTCTGTTTTACAAACTGCTTCGCAGCAACAGATGAAGCGTTGAGGATTGTTTGATATTAATTTGTGTTCACTGGATACACTGTGAGTGTACCCAATAAGCATGATACCAGTGATTTTGATTCTGGAGCCTTCAGACAAGCATTACAACTTTTGTGATTTACTGTTTTTTGTTTTCATTATGTTCTTGTTTTTAATTATTACTGTAGCACTCCACACTTGATCTTTGGAAACTCACATTTATTTAAAAAAAAATAAAATAAAAAGAGTTTGTTACTCTTGTTCTATTGTATGTTACAAAAGAACTATAGACTGTGGAATGCAGTTTAAAGAAAACATATGCCAACAAATGCCTTGTATTATATGGCACTGCCGTAATTCAGATTTGTTTTCTTTTGGAAATAAAGGTCACTGTATTTTTTTTTTCCATTCTCATTGTTACATGGTTTTAAAGAAAATGAAAAAGAAAATGTGAAACACAATTTAGTCCTCATTATTTATTTGTAGATCCTGCAGCATCATGTTGTAATTAATTTTTTTGGAAGTTTCCGTTAAATGTAATATTGCTTCTCTTGTTATCATACTGATTTTTTTTTTCTATTTATAAATGTATTTTGATGGGCAGTAAAACAAAGTGTCTTAAAAGTTTTAAATAGAGAAAATGTGCTTTACACAGTTGCCTATAAAAAGTGCTCTATGTTATCCAAGCAATTCATACTATAAGCTTCACTCTTATTGTTGTATGCAATTTTTACTATCATGCAAATAAGCTTAGGTAAATAAAACTAATAGATCACCTTAGAAACTTATGCAATTAATGTGAAAATAATTGATGTTTGCAATGTGTCTTCCTTTGGTTTACAATCAATTTTAAAGCTACAGCTGTATAAATTTTCTGTATAAAGGTGTATTTCTTTTTTATGAGTTTATTGCTATGAAAACACCAGTTATTTTGTTACAGCTGGCTGTTTTTATAAGTGTATCACAATTTTCTTTATGCAGAAATGTTCTGACTAGGAGTGGTTATTGACTGTAACTACACAATTAAAATTGTTTGTATGGTATGATACGGCAGGGTTTGTCTGCGTATGTGTATGACTGTGAGGAATATAGCTTGTTCTTAGTACACACTGTACCTTCTTGTCACTACTTTGAAGATGACATTTCAATTGTTCTCCTTTAAAATCATGAGCAGATTTTTTTTAATGACCTTCTTAATACTTGAATATAGATAACATACTTCAAAAAGAAATACAGTTTGGTTATGAAAATCATAACCTGTCTTCTGTAGGTTTAAAAACTTGCCTGCCCAACAGAGATAGCAGGATATTATTGAGTCAAAAGGCTATCAGGCATAAACATATTTACAGTTCCTGGCAGTAATGCACTTATAATGGATACAGCTGGTTTTCTTTTACACTAGAATTATGCTAACACTATTCCTTGCACTAATGTATAAACATTAAAAAAAAAAAATCATTAATAGTCACAAAGTACGTAGGAAAGATGGGCTTTGCACATTGCAGTGCCCTTCTAAGCAAGATTATTTTAAACAATCACTAATAATGTTCTTGATTAAGGCATCACGACTGGTGAGTTTTGAATGTATGCAAAGTCAAAGTCTGCAGCTAAAGGTTGGAGTTATGCACGTGCTGTTGTTCTCCATTCCTAGGGGGGGAAATGCTATGTTCAGTGACATGGTCACTGGATCCAGGTGTGCTGTGGCACATGCTGTGCAAGCAGAGCTGACTTGTGGGACAGTGCCACCAGCATCCTAAGGGTGTCTGAAGAGCCAAGCACCACTCCCCAAAGGGCTGCTTGACATGGGAAAATAAAAGTGAAATCACTTTTAAACTGATGCATGTGCATATCCAGGATAGAAGGGAAAGAAAACACTTTCCTGGAGTATGCTCCTCTTCACGCTAAAAGCTAATACACGCAGCATTCCTACTAGCAGAAATGAGGCAACAAATCCAATATTCTATAAAAGCGTAAGAAGAAATATTTACAAAATTTTCTTTCCTATTTTGAAAGCAATTTCTTTTTATCCTTTTAAGTTTTATGGGTGCTGAAGTAGAGGCCATGATTATTATAGCTGTTTCTTTTCCATTATCTTTGCTTTTACTTGTCCTAGCCTAACTGAGGTTACCTTCCAAGTCAACTGACTTGTGAAGTCATATATTACCTCCATAGGGGTTTGGATCCTGGTAGGTGGGTAGAAAGCATGCTTTTATCTTGGCCTGAGTGACCAAAAGCATCTTTGTTAAATCCTTAGCACTATCTTCAAAGGTGATGCAGATATTAAGGATGCTGTTATGCGGATGCAGGAGGTTTATGCTGTTAGGAGTTAAGCTACTACAAGCATATGTCACCTTGACTCATGGACTGGAGAGACTACCTCAAAAATACCTTATGTCCTTTTCTGTTCCTTTTTCTCACCATCTGGCATAATCCTGTCAACAAACTTTTAATTTCTGCAGAGATTAAGAAATCAGCCTTGATTTCTGAAACAAAGAAATTTCTTTATAAATGCAACATGAACTGAGAGCTGAAAAGACAATTTATTGGGAAGTGAGTAAAGCTCACTGCTGAGTAGGACTTCGCCAGGAGTATATGAAAAGAGTATTTTGTATGGACATAGGGAAGTGTAAGGAAATAACAGTGCTTACTAGGAATAAAATTTAAGCTGTGAATAAAGCCAAATGCCTAAAAAGGAGGAACCTGAGTGCTGAGCAGGGCTCACAGGGCTTAGCTTTTACTGTAAAACTGAAGTATTGACAGTGTTTTGTGGTTTTACCACAAAAAGTGGAGTATTTTTACTCCCCATTGATTCTTATTAATCTATATTTAAGTGATAAGATTCATGCAGATATGCTGGAGTCTCCAATGAGTGTTTTTCAAGTCAGAAATAAAAGAGAGGGTCCAGATTCCAAGAGGGCCATGGCTTGAGGGCACTTAGATGCCCCAGGCGTGGGTTGTTTGTCATTGTGAAGTGACAAACTTCACAGTGCCCTACACTATGGGATTTCTTGAGCTCTGTTTTGCATCACTATATTAAATTGGTCAGATGATGTAATGTCCAGGTTTTAAAGGAAATTATTTAAAAGGTTAAAAATGATCTAAAAGGATAAAAAGTTTCAGCAAGTGGAGGAGGATGGTTCCCTTCCATACGGTTTCAGTGATTTTCTGATTGAGTGCTTGAGTGGTGGGAAAACACCAAACCTTACTGCTCAGTCGATTTGCCAATGCAAATGCCCCATACGTTGACAGCAGTGTAGATTAAATACCACATAAGTCTACTTGAGCATCAAGTATTAGCAATTCTGCTTAGTGTCAACTGTGTGTTTTTATGTCAGATACATTGCAGAGACCAAAGGTTTTTTGATTTTTACATAATGATTTATATTGTGCTTTGAATAACAGTCCTGTGGCAAAGCAGGGATATAAATACGCTCCCAGGCCTTTTTTGTGCACAGATGTAATTTTAGTTTGGTCTCCACACAGTGCCTTGCGTCCATGCAGTCTTTTACTACAACAAATGAGCTAATAATTCAAACTGCAATAAGCGATCCTCCTTGGAGCAGGAGCAGTGCTACTTGGCAGCGAGTTCGTTTGCTCTCAGGTTCACATGGGAGCCTTCCTGCCCTCCCCTGCTGGCAGCCCTCCTACATCCCACACACATTGTTCTGCACCAGCCTTGCCCCAGCATCTTTTTCTGCCCTGGGGCCATCCCGCCCAGGTGTCACCTGTTTACACACAAGCACTCAGGTCTTTGTGTCACAGCTTACCATAAGGTAGCAAGGACTGCGTGTTTCTGATGTCACCCACTCCTTGGATAGCCATGCGTGTCCTGATCCAGTGGGTGGCAACTCTGCACAAGACAGAGGAATTGGGACAATTTTTAATGTGCTTTCCAACCAAAGCCATTCTATGATTCTGTGATTCCATGACCACCATCCACGCTATGAGCCACATGACTTTGCTGGAACAGTCCACTGTTCTCAGAAAGCTGGTTCTGCTTTGAGCAAAGGCAGACCAGTTTCTAGGGTACTGAAGTAAAGGGGGTAAGAAGGATGGATGTCCAAGACAGAAACAGGAAAAGGAAGAGGAAGGTAACAGAGGACAATGGGAGCATCAGCAAAGTAATAATAGCTTCACTTGCATGAAACAACAGATTTTGTTACAGTACATAATAGAGGGTCACCCAGGAATGCTATACTGTACTACCAAGTCTCTGTTGAAAAAGTTCTTGACCAAAAATATACCATGGTCTCTAACCAGAGAGCTGGGCTAACACAAAAATCTCCTCAGCTGTCCACAGTAAAAGAGGTCCCCTAAAAGTATGTGCTCTGGTGTCATCCCTCTATGCAGGACATGAAGGTTTCCATCTTCAGCTGCAGGCTGACAGCAACCATGACAGATGTAGTTAGGACTCTATTGCTAAAGCAATACCTGGGCTGTAAAACATTCTCGTTTTCCTGCAGGACACCATGCAACCACAAGCAGCTTCAACTCCTCCTTGAACTAGGCATACTATAAGAGTTGAAAAAATCAGACATGGTGTAGGACCTAGATTTTTATCACAGAGAAAGAGAACAGAAATATATATATATATATATATATGTGTGTGTGTGTGTGTGTGTGTGTTAATTCTGTTAGCACGCAGAGCTATATACGCATGCACAGTTTTTAGGTAAAGTTTTTGGGTGAATAGGTTGTTCCCTCAAGAGGCTTCAAATGCTACTGGTATCTTAAGGGATCATTTGCAATGATTTGAAAGTGATGGGACCACAAAAATTCACATAGAATGCTCCTAATTTTGAAGCAGACTTTCTCCTACAATAGAGTTTAAGGCAAAGAACACTCTGTTTTTTACTTAGGTTACAAAATAAGCAGCATTCACAAGGCCAGCCTTATGGGTGATGCTACCCTTCTTGCACATCCTTTCTTACCCCATCTCAAAGGGGCACTTAGTACCCACCAAAATTTCTTCTCTATCCTTTCTTCTGCCACATTCCCAGGCAACATTTTTACGTGGGGAAAGCGGTTTAGAAAACCCCTTTCCTTAGAGCAAACCCCAGCAGGGAAAAGTAGGCGAGGATGTCCTTTCAAAAGTGCAGGAAAAGTAATTCTTTATCATTATCATCATGACAGCTTGGATTGGGAAATAAGTACAGGTGTTGCTGTTGGCTTGCCTTCGTGGGCAAAATGCTTTATCCCCGGACTAACATGGATTCAGTATCAGCTGAGAGACTGAAGGAGATTGAAAAGGAGGAGGAGTGGGGCCAGTCATGAAACCCAGTGGGGCCAATCATGCTTAGTGATGACTGGAGAATTGCACTACTTTAACCTGAAGGAGATCTGAGTTAGACATTAGGAAAAACAAAGTGAGGAGCACTCACGGTTCAGGATGTAGGTACAGAAATAACCTGCAAAAAGGCAGAAATAAGGATCAGAGCTACGAAGTAGTTTCAGAGGAAAGGTTAAATATAGAAAGCTTGCAAAAATGTAGTGGCAGGTTGCTTCTTTAATAAATACCTGAAACATCGTGAGTAGTGAATACAGAAAGAAAACTCAGTATTTCTTGTAACACAAACAGCGATGATATTTGAAATATACCAAGGGGAATGGCTGTTTTGAGTATGCCTAGTCATGAGTGAGATGAATTCAAGAGAACTGAAACCAGCACTGTGCTCTCGTTCAGATGTGCTCAGTACATTTTGCACATTTTACTACCTATTCTTGTTCATAACCAGATTTTAAAACCACTGGACTGAATAATTTCATTGAGGAGTAGGTCACCTCATTATTTACAAAGCGTTCCCTCCCACACATCCCAGCACAAAAATTTTTTACCCAAAGCACTTTAGTAATCACCATGGTGTGTGTGCAGTCACTATTCATAACTGTGCTCTAACTGCAGTGAAAGTTAACTGAGGCTCCTTTAACCCAGATGGTACTATGAAATCAGGCCATTTTTGGGGGGTGCCACCTTTCTTTCAGTCTCCCTTGTAGCCATCCCACTTTCACTCATGTTTAGCTGATCTATTCTTTCCTCTTCAAAAGCCC